TTTTTGGTAGATTCAATTTGTCAGATTAAGAAAATTCTATTCTATTTCTGGTTCACTATGACTATCATTAATTGGTGCTGGACTTATCAAATGCTTTTGCTGCATCTTTTGAGATGGTCCTATTTTTTCTTTTCTTCAGTTAATATGATTAACTATGACTTTCTAGTGTTAAACCAAACTTGAATATCTTGAATAAATCCAACTTTGCTATGTTACATTATTCTTATTACACATTACATGATTCTGTTTGCCAAATTTTTGCTTAGAAATTCTTAATCCAAGTTCATGAATGAAATTGGCTTATAATTTGATTTTCTTTAGTTTCACTATGACATTTATAAATGCAGATTTTGAAAATTTATCTTGCTTGGTCTTCATTGGGCTTCTTTAACCTGTAGATTAATTTATAAGTTTTGAAAAGTTTTAAATTATAATCGCTTCCAATACTGTTTCTGCACTATTCTCTCTTCTTCTTCTGGAATTTTAATTACAAATAAAGTTATAATTAGGCATTTTCACTGTATATTATATACCTCTTACACTCTAATTTTCCATATCTTTTTCTTTTCATGCTTTGTCTGAATTCTTTCTTACAGTTTATCCTCCAGTACACTGATTCTCTTTTTACTTGGTTTTTTCTACTATTACCTCATCTATGGTTTTCTTAAATTTGATTACTAAAATGGTCAGGTCTCAAATGTGCCTTTAAAAAATAATTAATGCTTATATCCTTGAACATGGTAAACATAGTTCTGGAGTCCCTACAGGTCTGTTTCCATTGGTTTTTATTCATGCTGTTTGGCCTTTGTATGTCTAATTACCTTATTATGTCAAATATTGGATTTGAAAATTAATTTGTTGAAACACAGCAAGTCCCTTACATATGAACCTTCAAGTTACAAACTTTAATGAAGCGCAGCTGCATTTTTATGCATTATTATTCCTCTCCACGAGGTGTCAATATAGTCTGTTAAATATATGCAATACTATATAGCTGGTTGTGTTAGTTGGGTACATAGACTAACTTTGTTGGACTTAAAACAAATTGGACTTACAAATGTGCTCTCAGAACAAAACTTGTTCATATGTTGGGGATTTCCTGTAATTTGTAACTTAGGTTGCTATTATCTTCCTCCAGAGTAAGTTTTCCAATTGTTTCTATTAGGCACCTAGGGTATTAGCAATTCAAGATCATTTTCTTCAGTGATTTGGATTTTCCCAGTCATCCAGATAATCTGAAGCTGATTTGTTATTTGTGCAATGACTGGTTACTTCCTGTCCACCCTCTCTTCTTATAGAGTCCTTTAAGATCCCAAACCAAACAATGAGGTTGTAGCCATAGCCCTGACATCGATCATCCTAGGTGCCAACATTTTTTCCCCCACCAGTTCTACAAAAGTGTTAAAAGTACCATTCAGTCTCTCATTCACCTCCTTTGGATCACCAATGGTACCCAGTCCCAAAATGCCAAATTTCTAAATTTTGGCCCAGTAATTATTTACTACCTTGTTTGCAATTCAGTTTCAGTTTATATTTTGCTTTTGAGCTTTTTTTTTTTTTTTTTACTATTGTTATTTGTCCTTGTAAAATTATTGGACAGAAATTACCTGAGGCCTAGGATGAGGGTTCCTTCTTCCACTGAGTATTTGCATCCCCTTCTGCCAGGTTCCTAAGGATACCACTAATCAATCTAGGATTACTGTAAGTTCAATTCACCATTTGAAATAATACAGATGGTATGAATTTGGGCTGCATATCTATGCCAGGGCTGAATTATGATTATAACTTCTGCACTGCACCAAGGTGCTTTCTTCATCGTCCTGAGGGTAAATGAGAGGGTTCATGATTATGTGAGAGACTAGGCTATTGGGGTCTTGTCTTTATGGAAGAAAAATCAGAAAAATCTCCTTTCAGACCTCATACCCTCAGCAGTTCTTAGGCTATCGCTATTGTTTCCTCACCCTATGAGGCTTACAAATCATGACACACATTTGCCAGTCTGGCAGATGTTTTGGGGGCAATTTGGTTACAAGTACAACTTTCTAAATTCTTGATTTTTATTTGGTCTGGTAATTCTTTAATTTCTTCTTAGCTCTTTAATACTTTTAAGCTATAAATATCATGATTTTCAGATGTTTTTGTTGGGAGAGCCAGTGCAAGTACCTTAGACCAAGGTATGTTTGCAAACAGAGGTGGCCAGAGATTTTTTAAAAAATATAACATATGCAATAAACCTTAAACTTTTTATTTTTGAACGGAATGAGGGTACCCAAAAAGTCAAAAGGGACCTGAGACACACGGTAAGTACTACAAAATTCAGGTTTCCTCAGTTTCCTACTCTCTTTCATTACAAGAGTGTTTCTGTGCATTATTTAATCTGTTAACTCTAAAGTAGTTCTCAGGACTTCAGAAGGATTATTTAGGGAAACATTGTGTCAAAGTAATAGTGGAAAGCATCAGTGCTTTGAGGTCTAAATTAAGTGAATAAAGATCTCAAGATTCACTTCTCAGCATTCTCCCATTAGTGCTTGCCCAAGTTTCACTCTTGTCTCTTCTAGGCTATCTTCAAATCCTTCAATGGGTACTTGGCTTTGGCTCTAATGATTGTGTTACTCCAGGCAGTTTTCCAAACAAAAAGGAATGTTTATTTACAATTCCTAGACTGAAATCATAAATATCATCAGTTGAATTACATTGAAATGTCAGTATAACTCCACAGACATAAAGTATGTCTTGGCTAGGTAAAAAGGATTTAGTTATAAAAGTAGCAAAAGGATCTTACTGTAGGTAAGTTTAAACTATTAGGTGGTCCTGCAGTGTATACTCCAAGGACTGCTTTGCAGCAAGGTTCCTGACACAGACCATTTAGACTGGGAGCCAGACAACATTTTTCTCCCTGAAATTATAAGGAATCAGTGGTATTCGAGTAAATTGCCCCTTTGAGAATGAAAATAACTTTACTTAGACTTTCATAGTGAATACCTTTCTTATATAGATTTTTGCCTTTGCCTCAAAATCCTATGATTACTTCAATCTAAAACGAAATTCATGAGATAAGGTGTGTGTAATGGCATCTTTAAGCAAATGTCTTTAATTCAAAGTACCCTTTAAACTTTACAAAAATAATCACTATATACTAATTTTGAAAAAGATTATTTAGATTTTTCCCAAGGCACTTCAAATCTTTAAATACGCCATCTAGCAAATGTCTGACAACTGCCAGTTTCTGAACCTTTGACACCCAGAAAAGAGATGTTATACAGGAGAACTGACTCTTCACAGCTCTGCCATAATGTCACATTGAATATGCTGCTCTCAATTTTTACAGAGGATAGTACAAAATGCAACTGATCACTGTCTTGTAAAGTTGGTCATTCATCTAGTCTGAGAACTCCACAATTCCACCCCTGAGGCACAAACCCTAGATAGAGCAGTGATTCTCAAAACATGGTCGTTGGACCAGCAGCATAAATATCACTTGGGAACTTGTCAGAAATACGAATTCCTGGGACCCATCCTAAACTTCCTTAATTAGAAGTCTAGGGTGGGGCCCAGCAATCTGTGTTTTAATAAGTCCTCTAGGTAATTCTAACTGAAACTCCCAGTTTTATATAAATTCTTGTTCACTTTAATACAAGAATGCTTAAGCAACACTGTTTATGTGTGCGTGCTCTCTCTCTCTCTCTCTCATGCATGCAAAGGTGCATGTGTGTGCAAACACACATACACACACACACACACACACACACAGCCCCACCCACCCACCCTAGAATGTCCACTGTCAGGAGAACGAATTTAAAAATTGTAGTATTAACACAATGAAATACTAAATAGCAGAGAAAAGGAATGAAAACCAGCTATATTTGTAAGGTACAATAAAACTTACAACTATAACTCTGACTAAAAAAAAAAATTGCAGAAATCTACAGTATATTTTACAAAGGTTAAAACCAAGCAAAAGTAAATAAGATTATTTAACAACATGTTTATATAATACAGCAATAAAGCTATTTTTAAAAAACAAAGAAATGGTACATTTTAAATTCTATATACATTCACCTCAGAGGAGACAGGGACAGGGTTGGGAAGGATGAGGTGGGATCCATAAATGTGGTAACAGTCTTTCTACTATGTTGGGTAGTAAGTTCATAACTGTTAATTGTATTTGTACTAGTTTGTATTGATTACTACATTCTTTTGTATATGTCAAATATTGCATAAGTTTTAAACTCAGAAAACAATGTAGCTAATAAACAAAAATGACCATTAACTTAAGTAGAAAATTAGAAACAATCTAAACGTTATAAATTATTTAAGTATGTTTATTCAGTTAAAAAATTGTTAATGACATGAAAAACATGATAAAATTAGCCAGATAAAATAACGCAAAAAAGTACAATAAAAGAATTAGAAGAAAATATAATAAAATGTTAACAGTTGATATTATAAGGAGTTTTATCTCATCTTTGTATATTTAACATTTTTCCATAGTGAATACATACTTTTAAAATCATTAAGAATATTTAAACTATAATTGAAACATTTAATGGTTCTAAGTCATTAATAAAAACTGCTAAATCTGATGGAATCAGAGGGGAAATTGGTGTTTTGTAGAAATCTGGTTGTGATTTATGAGCTTTAGAATTCAGAGTTTTCTATTTTCTGCCATAAAGTCAAATCTCTCTATTATTATGATTCCTGGTTAAATAATTTCACTTTGTTTGTATGAGAAAAAAACATGACCGAGAAAACCATGACCTAAAGAGGACTTCAATTAAAAAACAAACAAACCTGAAAACAGCTTTAATTAAACACCAGAAAAAAACAGAAAAGTACAAAAGTAAAAAAACAAACAAAAAAAACCCCATCAATCATTGATTAGCTTTTGAAAACACAGAAGAAAGGCATGTACTAAGAGTCTGCCTCACAGCCCTATGTTCTGCCACAGTGAGAAAGGACCACAGAGATTAAGGTTCCAAAGCCAGAGATTAGTCACATACCTCTTTTTCTAATATTCTAGTGATCTCGCCTAGGGTCCGATCCAAAGCAGAAACCTTATTGTTTGCCCATGAGCCACTGTCTTGTACTTGTAGTTGTTTTAGAAGATCTTTGGCTAATCGCTGAAGCCTTTAATACAAAATGAAAGAATGGCATTAAAGAATTAGACTATCATACTTCATTGGACTATCATTCCAAACATTTTGAAACACAAATTACTCTCAGTAGTGTATTTGAAAATATATCATGGAGCACCCACGAAGAAGAAAAAGACAGACAAAAGGCTTGTATTACTTTATATTCATGACCACCAACCTACTCTGCAAGCACAAAAGAGAACCAGAGGACAGTATTATCTCCCCACAGGATTGGCTAGAGTAACTGAAGCCATCAGTTTCTGCATGACCTTTAAATTGGAACAGAACTGGGGATGCAGAGAAAGTGAGAGGATGATAGCAGAGGAAGTAGTACAAGGACCTGAGAAGGTTTTGATGTTTTGATTTAAATCTTCAAGGTAGGCTTGGCTATTATAATCATTATAAACTCTTAGAATGTCAAACTCTCTATGTTGCAGTTTATGGGCAATTTGGGGTTTGCCTACCATTGTTGGTGCCATTTACTTGGACAATAGAGCACTTGCTTTTCACCAAGATATGAGCTGGACCCCAAAAATACCAGAGTTATTTTTTGGAGGGCAGACTCTTTGTAGTACAGGCATCTCCCACTGTGTAAGTGTTCCAGGAACCCATCGGCATCAGCGTACCAGCTAGCATTGTTGTGAGAGACTGTGTTTGGGTTCAGTAAATTTTTTGGGGGGGATTCTTTTTTAAAAAAAAATTACAGATTTTATTTATTTTTTTGAGATGGGGTCTCACTCTGTCACCCAGGTTGGAGTGCAGTGGCATGACCACGATGATCATGGCTTATGGTAGCCTTGACCTCCTGGACTCAGGAGATCCTTCCACCTCAGCATCTGGAGTAGCTGGGACTACAGGTGTGTGCCACTATACCCGACAAGTTTTGTTTTTGGTATTTTGTAGACGAGGTCTCCCTGTGTTGCCATGCTGGTCTTGAACTCCTGGGCTCAAGCAATCCATCCGCGTTGGTTTCTCAAAGTGCTGGGATTATAGGCATGAGACATTCTACCTGGCTCAAACTACAGATTTTAAATATTTATGTTGAACAAGCTAGCATCTTTTTTTTATTTTATTTTAAATATGTGGGGTACAATTCAGGCTTAGGTACATAAGTGGTCATTGTACATGTGAAGTTTGGGCCTCCCACTGGTTCTTACTTCGCCTAGTTTGGGATCACGTACTCTTATTGATGTTATATGTCCCCTGGCCCCTGCAGTGGTCTGCTACTGCCAATCTCTGCCATGTAGTATTATGATAAATTTTGAGGGTCCACTTATGAGTGAGAACATGTGGTACTCAGTGTTTCTATGATAGATCACTGAGTATGATACACTCTAAATTCATCCAAGTTGCTGCTTTCTTTAGAGATTCTTTAAACGCATTTGTCCATTTCATGGGTGATTTACATGAACAACCTGCCCACACTGTGCTGAATGTTCAGCAGTTTTCGATCAAAAACAGCATGATCCCCATGCCCCACCCTCCCTATTCACCCAATCTTTCCCTAAGTGACTTTTAGTTTTCCAAAATGAAAAAAGTCCTTGAAGGGAAACGTTTGGCCAATGTGGAAGAGGTGAAACGAAAAACAGTAGAAGCACTAACATCCAAATGGATGAGTTAAAAAACTCTTTTAAGCAGTGGAAGAAACATCTTGACTGGTGTTATTACATCAAATGGAGACTACTTTGACTAAAGTTTAAACATGTAAAAATAAATATACAATTTTTATAAATAAATTGCAGGTTTTTTGGGGTCTCCTCATATACTACATATTACCTAGACTATGGAGCACTGTGTGTAATACTTCTTTGTAGCCCTTTCTTGGGTCTCATGCACCTCACTCTCTGATCAATCCTCTTTTCCTTCCCACCTATTTGCTTGAGTATCCCTGACAGATACTCACCAGATTGCTCCACTTTCCTCCTATATATCATCCCCCTGTTGTCTTACTTTAATTTTGACCCATGACAGATTCCATAGGACACCATTATAATTATCTTCTTGCAAATGTCCTACATTCTCTCTCTGTTGTTCTATTTGTTACACCCACGAGACAAACTCGAATAGCAGTATAACTCATTTATTAAGTTCTTTCTATGGGCCAGGCACCATTCTCAGTATCTTGCATGCATTAATTTATTTAGCTGAATTAATGAAAACAACTGCCAGCGTTTTCCATTTCTCAACTTCAGGGGAAGAAAACATCAGAGCATGCAAAAGCCTTGTATGACTATTGATTCAAAATCTTAGTAAATCTTCTAGTTTGCTCATTCTTCCACTCTCCACAAGGACTCCTTCATACATCCCTCCCTTCAAAACTCTACCCTTTCCTCATAAGATCTTACATTTCATAAAGAAAATGAAAGTTGGTAGAATAACAAAATTCACTTTCTGTCACAAAATTTACAAGCCTCTCTGTATTTCATCCATCCTCTCTTTAGTTTCTCTTATTACAACTGAGGAAAGGTCATCCCTCCCCGTAAGACTAATCCTGCCACACAAGCTTTGTATGTGCAAGGTCTCTCTGGATCTTAATCCCTCTCTTCTTCCTGCTTCACTGTCTTTGCAACCGTTCTTCATTCCTTTCTTCTGAAATGCTTCCCCCACACCTGTATCACCTAGAATATTCCTATGTATCCCTGAGTTACTACTTAGCACAAACATTACTTGCTCTGATTTGACTGTCTCCTTAAAGCTCTCATCACAAGTGAATTACTTCTCTAACTATTTATTTCATGTGTGCTTATCCCATGTAGAGCTTTACAACAGAACTTCTTGCAATGATGGAAACGGTCTGTATTTGCACTGTCCAACATAGAGACTGCTGGCCATATGTGGCTATTGAACACTTCAAATACAGTTAGTGTGACTGAGGAATTGAATTTTAAATTATATTTAATTTTAATGATTTAAATTTCAGTACTTACATGTAGCTAGAAGCTACTGTGTTGGACAGTGCAGAAGCAGAGTACTAACTTCAGGAGACAGGGTACTTGTCTACCTGTTTATAGCTCTTTCTTTACCACCTAACATGCTCCTTACAGAAGTACACTCAATAGGTATTTAATGAATGGTTTACAGACAAAACTTCTTCTTTACATTAATCTTTTTTTTAAAAGTGTCAAATTTGTGAGTTTATTAATCTAAATGAAAATATATGACCCCCATCAACAAAGAGATAACCCTGAATCTACTTAGAAAATCTAATCAAAGAAGTATTATCTATGTGGAGACCATGTGTAGGTTATCATACCATACCAAAGAGAGGGCTGCAGTCTTCACAGAACATACGAAGTCATTGGCAACCAACTGATCATGAGTATTCTAATATTTGGAGAAATATTAGGAAAACTAACAAACTGCCCTGGCCATTGTTTATTGTTGCATATCCAGAAGACTTACTGACCCAGACGAGATTAGTTTGAAACAAGAATCTTTTTTAGTCCAGTAAATCTTCCGAGTCCGATACAGTTAAGGCTAATCAGAGACTAAAGAACCTTTGTAGAGGTGAGTAGGCTCAGAAATCTGTGGGACCTGGGCAGTCCTATTATGAATCAACGTGTTCTGATCAAAGACATGGAATTACTCAAGTGTCAGTTAAGAATTTCTGGAAAGCACTTCAATGCCAATGACCACTAACACGTTATTTCCTAATATGATGATTTCTGACCTGAGACAGAGGCATAAAAAATATTGCTGGCTATCAATTTTACTTCACTGCCTCTGATCTCTAAAGAAAAATCTTATTTTTTCACATAAGAAACTCACAGAATCAACTGAACGTTAATCAAAGAGCAGACAATTAAGTAAAAATAGAGGAGAGAGAACCTCTTGTTATGTAGAAAATCGCATGAAATGATTCATCATCGTAAGAGAAGAACCATTTTTCCAGTAGCCCCACCGCCGTGAATGATATTTTCATGAGCTTGGGCCACCTTCTCCAGCGGATACTGAGAACCTATTACAGGTTTCAACCAACCAATTTCCATTCCAGCTTGAAGGGCTGCTGCAAATTGCTGAAATTCCTCCTTGGTTGAGGAAAAGAGATGAATTTCAATGATACTAGACTCCTTGGCCATGGTATCCCGAGGGTTGATTTCAATAGTACCTCTGATGCCAACAACTATGACTCTTCCTCCACATGACAGAAGATTCAAATCTTTACTAAGATTTACATTCACTAACATTTCAATAATCACATCAATTCCTCTCCAACAGATTTCTTAATTTTATCAATTAAAATTAACTGTAGTTAACTTCTTGGTGATTAAACACTTCATGGGCTTCATTTTGCAAGACAATCTTCCATCCCTCCTTGGTACCAGCCGCGCCCCAAACCCTCAAGCCACAAGCTCTAGCAATCTGGCATGCTGCTAAGCCAACTCCTCCGCTAGCCCCGTGAACCAGAATGCTCTCGCCAGCCTTTGCGCGGACACTGTGGATCAGAGCTCGAAACGCCGTAAAATATGGGACACCGATGGCCGCGTCTTGCTGGAAGTCCAGCTCGTCGGGCAGTTTGTAGATGGTGTGATCCGCTGCAAGTGCATACTCCGCATAGTCCCCAGAGAGCGTGCTGGTCATGAAGACCCTGTCACCTGTCTTGACAGCAGACGCACCGTCTCCAATGGCTTCCACCACCCCAGCCACGTCAGAGCCAGGCATGTAGGGCAGGGGTGGCTTCCTCTGTACGTCCCGGAGCGAATGTACCTCTCCACGGGGTTCACACCACACGTGTAGACCCTGATTAGAACCTGGTGGTCTTTCGGAATCGGCACGGCCACATCCGACTGGAGTTTCAGGACTTCGGGTCCACCAAATTCAAACACTCTGACAGCTCTCATCAACCTCTGTCCAGTCGCCATGGTGATCTAGATACCGCCCCGAGGACGAACCCCATGCTGCGCGGGCTCCTTCCGACGGCGTGGGGGAGCACATTAATCTTAACAGTACTAATAATGTCACAGGTTACAACATACTTTCATGTATACAATCTTATTTAATTACCTCAGCAACACTGTCCGTTAGTATTATCTCTATTTAAGGCTCAGGGAAGTTAGATGACTTTCCCCAGGTCACAGAGTTAGTAAGAGGTACCACTGGGACTTGACACCTAAGACTTTGAGCTTCAAATCTTATGCTTTTGTCTTCATACTATATTAGTAAATTTAAATAAGGAAATTACATTCACAAATGAATAATTTCCTAGAATACAATTCCGTCTAAAATTTTAATTATGTAAAATTTGAAAATTTCTCAAAGAATAAAACAACAAAGGCCACACAACAAGGCACTAGTGAACCCCAATTTAAGCCTAAGCTATCCATATGAAGTTTACTTTGATAAGTCAAAGAATGAATACAAACTCTAAAACCAGAAATATCTATGCTTGAATTCTGGTCCTGCACATGCCATGTATATAAACCCCAGGGAGGTTATTTAGCGTCTCTGAATCTCAGTCTCTTCATCTTAAAAGGCAGGACAATATATATAACCTTCTTTCAGAGTTTTTGAAGACCAGAGACATTTAATGTGATAAACCTAACATCATGCACTAAAGTAGACATTCAATAAATGGACAACTATTAATACTATGCACTGACAGAAGGTCTCAATCTAACAAAGGAAAAAGAAAATATAAGAAATATAAAAATAGAATAACAGAAACATACTTCTTTTTCCTCCCAATCAAATATGGGCTAGAGTCCCATCGATTAAAATTACTGACCTTATCATGTGGAAGAATATTGGCAGTGAACTTCATTGTGTCATAGATAAGTAGCTACTTCAACTTCTGGCTAAAGTCTGCACACTATGTAACTAAATATTCAGCCACAGAGATGGATGCATATGAACCTAGCAGTATTCTTACCAAGAATGTTCACATTCCACTGAAAACCAGGATTACTTAGGGAAGCACAAGGGCCATTTTAATTCACAGAATACAAGAGGCTTGTATTTCACCCTGAGGTAAATCAAATCTGGGATTCATATGAACCTACCCTTCAAGGAAGAATGCCAAATCAAGGGGGATGCTTTGGTAATGTGAGCTAACCCTCTCTGTCTCACTCCCTGCCTCCACAGAAGTACCACGAATAAAACAGTCCCTAGCAAAAAAAACCACCAGATTTTGATTCATACTATACATAATTACAGAATGTCACAGAAGTTAAGCTCTGAAAGCTATGTTTCTCCTACAGTGCAAGAACAGCAGCTGCTTATAGAGTGCAGTGTTTAACACCAAAGTTGTTATTTGAGTTACTTCTGGCAGATAATTTTTCTATCATGAAAAGAGAAAGTAGAGGCTTTGTACTCCTAACCTAGAACATGAAAAGTATCTGTCAGGTAAATGGCTTTGTGTAGAATGTTGTACAGTCAGATATTTTCTCCTTAAAACTTAAACAAATTCCAATAACTCTAAGCTCAAATCTGTTATTGTAAATGTGAAATATAACAGTATCTCTCTAAGGAGCCCTAACTTTTATCACAGCAAAGTTTGTTGCTATTGGGAGGAGTGGTGTAGTAGGATTATTTGGAAAATTTGTAGAAGGGTAGGAAAGGACCCTGGGTCTACTTTAGAAAATAACATCGTTCTTTAGTGTGATGAACAGAAGACATAACGTCAGTAACTTTTTTTCTTTTCTTCATTTCCTCTATTTGAAAGATACATGGTCTCAATTTAGTGTTACTGGTTCTCTTTTTATTTTTCAATAACACGCTTAAGATTATATTTCTAAATATTGAGCCTGGCATGGTGGTGCATGCCTGTAGATACTTGGAAGATCACTTGAGCCAGGAGTTTGAGTCTAGCCTGAGCAACCTAGTCAGACCCCAGTCTCTAAAACATTTAAATAAATAAGTATAAAATAAAAAGTTTAAGAAATCAAATAGCACCTTTTGGTATTCCCTCTACACAATGAAAAAATCAGTATACTCTTTTTGTTTTTGCCTGCTAAGCATCCTTTCTTGTGAAAAAATACCCCATCTTTCCCTTTGAGGGAACCACCCATCCCCATACTTATATGGATATGCTAGATGTGTACAGTGCAACATGTCCTGTTCCCAGGTGTCCTCGCTCTCAGTGGAAAGAGCTGGAGAATGTGTGCATATTATATATATGCATATTACATATATATAAGAATACACACACATATATATATTTATCTATAAAATTTGAAAAATACAAGTTAACACTGATACTTTGAATCTAATTCATCACCACATGATTTTTCATTGCTCCCTGGCTATATGCTTAACTTTCTCCTCTGGCAGTGAGCAACTACCTTTCACCATCGTTAACAGATATACTTATTTGACCAATCCCTATTTGACCAATCCCCCTCCATAAGATATCACCCATCTTTGTTTCTGTATCTATGCTGTTATCTCCTCTGCCCAGGATCTGATTCCCCATATGGGCTCTTTCATGCTCTTCAACCTACCTGCGTTTCAACACCTCTTGCAGGGCTCCCAATTTCACGTGGGCTCTGACAGACCCTGCCATGACACCCTTCCTTAGAGAGGACCTACTCATTCTGCTGATTCCCCACATCAGGCCATGATTTCCTATCCCCCATGGAAGCCCCCATCCCCCTGCTTGGGCTTCCTTGCATAAGTATCCTCCTTATCCTACTCAGGTCCTGCCAGCCCCATTGTATCACTGTTGCCTCCTGCTATGCCCCCTCCCACACCCCATGCAGATGGCTGTTTGGTGCTGCCTTTTCTAATGCCTTCAGGACTGAATTTTTTGGGAAGGAGGACAGATAACTGGAGGAAGACAGAAAGCAGAAAGTGCTGTTTTCATTTATTAGCTGAAATAATTTTATAAAGAGAAACTTCTCATATGTTATTTGGTTACTAAGTTCATACAGGAAAGGCAAGATGTTTGATTCTTTCCTTTTACTAACAATTCAAAATAATGAATTGGTTTCCTATCGTCCTCTGAAGGTGACCAAATTTTTTTAAATATTGTAAACTCACAGTTGTTTAAATTTATTTGATAGATTTCAATCTGTTGTAATTATTATCCTTCTCAAAGTTTAAACTGTCCCATCTTTGGCTAGTAGGAGGCTCGTCAAGTTGACTTCTAGCAGTCTTTGAAAGCTTGTTTGCTCCTACCATAACAAGACATCCAAGTCTGGAATTAGTCATTTCCCCCAAAAAGCCCTTGCTTTCTTAGTGAGAAATTATATTTCTAGCCCCAAATCAATGAGCACTAGAGATGCTCCCTGCTACTGAGTTGATCACTCTTTCCAGCCCTCTTCAATGGACAGAACTAGGAAATAAATGTGTGAGTATACACATGAATACATATGCATGTGTGTATAAATGTGTGTGTGTATTACATATACAGTTGTCCCTGGTATCTGTGATGACTTGGTTCTAGGCCCCCAATGAATGCCAAATCATGAATATTCAAGTCTGTTAAATAAAATGGTGTAGTATTTGCATAAAACCTATGCATATCCTCCATATACTTGAAATCACCTCTGCTTTACTTATCATATCTAATAAAATGTATATGATAAGTAAATAGTAGTTGTTATACTGTATTTTTTAGGGAATGAAGACAAGAAAAAGAAGTGTGTACATGTTTGGTATAGATGCAAGAAATTATCCATTTTTTCCCCCAAATATTTTTGATACAAGGTAGGTTGAATCCATGGATGTGGAATCCATAAATATGGAAGGCTGACTCACTCACACACATACACAGACACACACACATACACACAAATACAAACAATATTTTTTAAAATGCCTTATAAGTTCGTATAATTCAAATTCAGTCTGATAGGAGTTGTACCTGATCTCTGTTATAATATATCTACTTCCTTTCTTCCAGACCAAGAATCCAGTTTCTTGGATGAGTCTCCAAAATCTCCTCTACTTTATCCTCTATTACATGCACAACAGTCTTAGAGGAACACTACTAATAATATCATAACCAACATAATTAGAGAATGCTTCATTTTTCTGGCATATATTTTCCCCATTTGCCTCTTTTTTTAAAAGTGATACTACAAAATTATCTGAGACACAACCAGTACATAAATATTATCTTCCTTTGTCACCCAACTAATATTAATTTCACTAGAAATTATAACTTTAATGTTAATCATTTTACCTTATTTTGATGTTTCTTTAGTCATTTTGGTTGCCCAATCAAAATCTAGTAAAATAAAACACAATCTCATCAGAAAAAATTGTGTAATAGACTGTTAAAGACCCCCGGTGAATTGTGTCTTGGTAGCCATTGATTTGTATGGTCTCTTCTACCGTGACTCTGTACTTGGTCAAGTGATTTTCTTTGGCCAGTGGGAAATAAGCAAATGTGACACAAGAAGAGGCTTCATAAAAGCCAAGCACCGGAGTTTTTCCTATTGCCATGTACAGAAGATCTGGAGGAAGAGGTTCATCCAACAGCCTACATCAATTGATAGGCATGTGAATGAGGCCAACTTACACCTTCCAGCCCCAAGTACAGCAGTAGATACAGATACAATGGTAACCCAGAAGCCAAGTGGAGAAAATAATGCAAGATGAGAAGAAGTGGACTGCACCATTTGTTTCTGAATGGCTGAAGAAAATGAGAGATACAGGATTGACTATTGGATTTAGCAACAAGGAGGTCATTATATTCCTTGACAACGGGTGCTTTGAAGAAATGACAGAAAAAAGCCTGTTAAGGGTAAGATAAAGAGAGAAAGGAAGACTAGAAATTAGACAGCTATAAATAAGCTGAGAAGTACTCAAGAATCAGTAACTAATGGACCAAATGTTGGAGAGTTCTTAATGATCTCCCAAAGTTTTGCTCACTCTAAAGACAGGGTTGGCTTTTTCTTTTTTTCCACAATCAATAGAGATAAAGTT